ACGCGCCGCAGCGTGTGGCCCTTCTCAATGTCGTCCACGTACTTGAGGAAATCCAGGTCCAGGCGGTAGCCATAGGGCGTCTCCACGGAGTAGGGAGGGTCGGTCTCCTTGGCCGGGAAGGCCGGCGGGGAGGCTGGGCCGGGGGTCCCTAGGGCGGGAGAAACGCTAAGCCTGGTGGGCACTGTTGTCCTCTGCGGAGAAGGCGGAGCCCCCGCCCCCCAGTCAAGATTTATTTGCCCAGGGGATGGGAGCCCACTGGCCCTCAGCGGCTCAACTGGGTCTCCAGTCTCGGCCCCGCCCCCTCCCCCCAGAGCAGGGCCCTGTCTCCCTCTCTGACCCTCCAGGACAATCAGGTTGTCTACATTCAGGCCCTCAGGGCAGCGCTGTGTTCCTCCACCTCCTACCCCAGGTAGGGCCCTATCTCTCTCCCTACCCCTGAGGCCCCTCTCCCCTCCCTCAGGCCTCCAGGTCTGGCCCAGGTCCGCACCCCCTCCCATCCAACCCCTGGGCAGGGCGCCCTTCCTCTGCACAAGTCTGACCTGGAAAGGGGGCTGGTGCGTGCAGGACTTGGGCCATCCTCCCTCCGTAGATGTTCCTCACGCGTCACTGGGAGGCCTCGAGTCAAACTGCCTGCAGCACCGGCTGAGGCTCACCTGGGGAGAGGGGCCATGGAGACGGGAGTCAGGAAGGGTCTGCAGGGGAAGGGGAGGGGGTGTGTCCAAGTAAGGACCCTCATATAGGTGCACACCCAGCCAAGCTGTGGAAAGGGGTGGGGTGATGGCCCTGGGGCCTAGAACAAAGAAACCAAACCTCCCAGCCTGCCTGCACATCTGTCCAGCCCCTGGACAGTCTCCAGCTGTTCCCAAAGCCCCGCCTCCACAAGGCCCCCAGGCTGGGGGCCCCAAGACCTACAGGCCCACCCTTCCTGCACCCTGTCCCTCAGCCCAGGCCAGGAGCTGGTATGGGGTCAGATGGGGCTCGGGGGCTCATAAGGGGACAGCTATCCTGCCAGGATCTGAGGAGACCAAATCAAAAAAGAGAGCTACAGCTCAGGGTAGGGGACCCCAAAATAGAGCTGGGTCAGGGAAGTTGGGGTTGAGGGGGTAGGGAAAATTGTGGGGAGGCAGTGAGGAGCAAAGCCTTTCCCCTTTATGGAAACAATTTTCTCTAAAAATAAACAGTTTCGCTGCTGGGCTGCACGAGAACTTCCTGCCCACCCCCAGGACATGTCCGGCTGGGGAGAGGGTGCCCAGCAGCAGGGGCGGTGGCCCGGGAAGTCATGGGGGTCTGAGGAGGAAGTAAGAGGGGGCGCCTGGAGGCTGCAAAGGGGAGGGACAATCCGGGCCTCTCACTCACCCCCCCACCCCCCCACCCCCAGTCCTGGAGTCCAGCCAGGGTCCTTCTGTCCCAAACACTCCGTCTGAGCTCGGCCAGTGCTTTCTGCGGTCTGACCTCCAGCCACCCTCCTGCAGGGGCCCAGGCCCACCCACCACCAAGGAGGACCCTTCCCAGCGTGGGTGCCAGGGCAGGGGGTACCTGGGAGGACGGGCCAGGTGGGACACCGGTTGGGCATGAAGGCGGGGCTGGGGCTCCAGGGGCACCGAGCTGGTCCTTGTCTCACCCCGGTGTCTCTCGATTAGCGTCTTGCTTTGTCTCTCTCCACGTCTGTCTCTGTGTCTCTCTGTGCTTCTTTCTCCCCGTCTCTCCACGTCTCTATCCTCACTTCTCTGTCTTGCAACGCCTGGAACACGCAGTTACCAAATGTAGATTTGGTTTCCCACCTGCCTGGAGGCTCACCCCCTATACAACAGGATTACAAGTAATTTCTGGGGCCCCGAGAGCCTGGAGGCGGGGCGCAGGGTTGGAATAGCCTGTGGGGGCGCCTGGAGGTGGACAGGGACGGGGTGAATAAGGGTAGCAACACTGATCTGTGTATCAGACAACCCCACCAGGTGGGGAATGTGGAGGCACAGAAATGTGCAGTGACTTGCCCAGGGTCAGGGGAGGGGGAAATGGCTGGTCCTGGATTTGAACCTAAGCCCCGCAGATTCCCCACTGCAGGCCGAGCTGCCCTCACCCCCATTCCATATCCCTCGGACCCATTCCCAAGCAGAGACTGGGGTCTGGGGGCCTCCAGCCACTGGGCCATCCTCAGGGAGAAAGCAGGTTGGAAGCGGGCTGTCTGTGGCTGGGGCCCCGCTCCCTCTCTGGAGCCCCCGGGGCACAGGGAGGGGACCCCGGACACTCACAGAGGAGACAAGGTGGGCGAGGAAGGGGCACAGGGTCCGGCGGGCCCGAATGTCCAACCGGGTCTCTCTTAAAGACCCCCTCGCTGACCGGCCTGGATGTCTCTGGGGTCTTCCCGCCCCTCTCCGCGCCCCAAAGATGGGGGTGAGGAGGACCCCACCCGAGCAGGGAGGGGCGGGGCCTGCGGGGTCCCCGGCTAATGGCGAGGCAGCGATGGGGCGGAGGGTAGGGCGAGAGGTACCGATGGAAGAGGACGGGGTGGGGGAGAGAAGCAGGGACGGGGGTCAGAGCCGGGAACCGGGCGGAGACGCTCAACAGTCCGCAAAGTTTGGGCTGAGATGGTGGAGTTAGAGCCGCGGCTGGTCCAGACCCGCGAGGTCACGCCCCGCAGTTGGCGGTGGTG